TTATGTTTCTAAGGGTCCATCCTCTGGGCTCTGAAAAAGACAGCTGGGCCCTTTGGCCATTTGTATCATGGGCATTAACAAAGGCTCTGTGGTCAGAACAGAGCAGCTGATCACGGGCTGCTTGAAACAGTGCCCATTAAGAGACAATGGGATACAGCTGAGTCTTCCCACCACCCACCCAGCCCTGGCTACAAGTATTCTGCACCATGAGCCAATGTAATAATAAGCAAGGATTGGGACGCTACTGCTGGTAGCACTTGATGTGGTCGCGGGTGCACACCAAGGGAATGCAGATGAGGCTGTCAGTAGGCAGATTGCGATTGTGAAATGCACTCTTTTAAACCCTGCTAAGCATGCATTTGACAGCTGGATAAATTTTAATGTTTGCATTTCTTGAAACCTGTAGCCAACCCTTCCACAGAACTGGTTATTTTGAATCAAACTAAGGAATGCAGCCTTCCAACAGCTCTTTGGATTCTCCTCCAACAGCACGCAAGCTCTCCTTACCCTTAAGGTGTGGCATAGCCAAGGGGGTGCCCTCCAGATGTTATCAGAACCCACCACTCAGCATAGCTGACAGACAGGGATAATGGGAGTTGCAGTTCATCAACATCTGGAGGGCAACATGCTGGCTAGCCCTGCCTTATAGGCCACGTGTGAGGTTTCCCTTTGACAAGCCCGACTGATCCTCTGTTTCCACAAACCCAACATTTGATCATGTGATATTTAAAAGTGGGGGGGGCATGCACACAACCACCCCTATTTGGGTTGGCCCTGCTCACTCAGACCCCAATATTCCCATGTTTCATGAGGAAGATCTATGAAGGGCTGTTACTCAAACACAAGTAGAACCCTGCAGGTGATCATTGATGCATTGCGGGCATTCCCAACTCAACATTGTATGACCAGGGCTAACAAGGAATGTTAGGGGCAGGGCTTGTGTGCCATTGCCCCCATCCCCGTGTTTAGGTAGCCATCTGAACACAGCTCCTGTGTCAGACTTCTCTTTGAGCAGGTGGGATATTTGTGGACATTCTGTGGTATCACAGAAGCTGAAGCTCATGGAAAGGATGGGGCTTACTGATACGACAAGTGATAGTGTTATAGTCGATATTGACAACCACGTGGCTTTTTTATCATTTCATTTGTAACTTTCCCTGCCCAAAATATCTCAGCCAAGACATGCTGCAGCCATTGTTATCAGCAATAAAGCTAGAGTAAGCTTTGTAAAAGCTGAGCTTGGGATGTGGGAGGAGAGAGCTTTTTGCCAGGTTGAACAAGACATGCACATTGCATATCACAGGGCCTAGCTACATGTTACATTAAATATTTTGCTTGCAGCTACATCAGTTCCACTCCCCCTACACCACCACTTTAATCCTAGTACACATGCCCCATTTCCATTGATGCTGCAGTACAGTATGTTGCAATTAGACCATGATCTCATGGAAATGGGAGGTGGAGATCCCTAGGTTTAGAGAGAGAAAACATTTAATATAACATGCAGAAATTTGGAAAGCAGAAGAATCAACTTCACCATACCTTGTATTGTCTCAGGGTTCAGTCAAACTTTAACAAAACTTTCACCGACCCTCCAGAGGCGTTTGGCTTCAGCTCCCACCAGCCACAGCTAGTATGTAGTCGAAAACATCTGGAAGGTGCCAGGCTGGCAAATGCAGCTCTTGCATCATAACAGAGGGACGTAAGACAGCAGTATGCTGACATACTGTTCTATGGAACAGAGTAAACAGGCTACAATCTGAGTCAGCTTTGCCACCAGGGAATTGAAACCACCAAACCCTGCTTATAAGGAGAGCCTGCTGGATCAGGCCAGTGACCCATCTAGTCCAGCATCCTGTCCTTGCAGTGACCAACCAGATCCCTGTGGGAAGCTTTCAGGCAGGACCAGAGCACAACAGCACCCCCCACACTTGAGATTCTCAGCAGCTGGTATTCAGGGACATACGACCCCTGACAATGGAGATAAAACATGGCCACCATGACTAGTAGCCATTGGCAGTGCTATACTCCATGAATTTGTTGTTTTCTGGGAATGAATTTTGACAGTGTTCTCTCCTACCTGTGGTAGTAGAATGTGTCCTGGCATGATGCAGACAAGGCCCCTTTAACCTACATCCCTATACCTGTATGCACACTCTCTCTCCCACACACCTTTGGTCCTCCAGATGCTGCTGAACTACAACTCCCATCAGCCCCAGCAAGCATGACCAATGGCCAGTGATGACGGGAGCTGCAATTCAGCAACATCTGGAGGGCCAAAGGTTCCCCACAACCAGTATAGAGAAGTCCTTGATGTATTAGAACAGGGAGTTCTGAGGAGTGACTCAAAACAAAGGCAGCTGTCTGACGAGGGAATACCAGGAATCATTTATTACTTAAACAGCCTCAATTTTTTGCACTCCCAATCAATTGTGGGTGTAATTTTGTGGGCACAGTGAACGGCAGCTGAATGCTGAACTGTGCAATTGCATCCACAAATCAGCAAGAGGAATTATGTTATACTGCCAGTATCTCTCTAGCTCTCTCACACACCTACACACACACACACACACACACACACACATGTTCTTACAGTTTTCCGTGTGCACCGTTAGAAATAGGAGACAGTGTTAATTCAGTTCACATTTTGATGCAACCCTGCTGAATTTGCATTGCCAACAACAATGCATGATCCCAAACCCAGACAAAATTTGCAGTTCTACAGATTCTGTGGTATACTTCCTTATGCAAGAAAGTGGCCATTTTGACCAAATATGTTTTTTTTTAAAAAAAAAACCACTGTATTTTTATTTTTATTTTTTTAAAAAAAGACTCCACTCAACTTTACAGCGAAAGAAAACAAGAGCTCTCCTCAATCAGGCAAAGGCCCATCTAGTCCAGCGTCCTGTTCTCACAGTTCCCCACTAGATGCCCCTATGCGAAGCCCGCAAACAGGACTTGAGTGCTACTCCCCACCTGCAGTTCCCCAAAACTAGGATTTGAAGGTGCATTGCCTCTGATGGTGGAGGTAGAACAGTAGCCATTGATAGCCTTGACCTCCCTGAATTTGTCTTTTGAAGGCATCCAAGATTCATTTGTTTGATTCGTTATTGGGAAGAAGGAACAGCTATCCAAGACGCCATGGTGTTCTGAATATAGTTAGCAGAACTCTGCTTTCTAGCTATGTGAATGGATGTGTATTTTATTTTATCTAGGCATAGAGACATTTCTATCCCATCCTTTTAGTGCATATGCTAGGAGTGGGGAACTTTAAGCTCTGGGCCCAAATACAGCCTTCCAGTCTCTCTGTCTGACCCTTGGGGCTCAACCTAAGCTACACTCCTTGTCCTCCTGCTCTGTGCATTCTTGAGCTGTTGCAGTGTCCACGGTCTCTGCGCCTCCCCCTTTAAAAAAACCAAAACCCATCTTGTACACAGTTTTATTTGTTTTGCTTAATTCCCTCCAGAGTTTCTGCAGGCCCAGGCACCACCTGCTGTTTGTGCCAACATGTGATTGCCATCTGCAGTGTGTTTGCTTATTCCCATAAATGAAAATTGCTGATGAGTTGTCGTGGTGCAGGTTCTTGTCCTCTTGTTATTTTGTGGCATGCCTATTCCCAGTAGCCAGGCTGAGCTTCACCTGAGCAAGACTGGCTGGTTTATTTTGAAAGGGAAGGAACAGGTTCGGTTTGGGGTGCCTGCACAGTCAGGCTTGGGTAACCTGTTCCTTCAAAAGGGCAGAGGGGGAGATACTGAGACATTGGTGTATTGTCATTGCGTTCTGCCTAGAGGACTGAAAATGCCCCCTAATGTTGCCGCCATCACCACAAGCTGCAAAGAAGGGCAACAAGTCTGCCTCAGTTACCACTGGTTGCATTCATATTCTGCCTTCACTTTTCATTCATTTTATTTGTATGCCTCTTTATATGTTGGAGGCAGTATGCTCCTGAATATCACTCAGGTGGGAGAGTGCTGTTGTACTAACATCCTGCTTATAGGTTTCCCATCGGATCTGGTTGGTCACTGTAAGACCAGGATGGAAGACCATATGGGCCTTTGGCCTACTCCAACAGGACTTTCCTTTTGTTCTTATGTTCCTGTAGTGACTTCATGGCAGATATAAGGCTCTCTTGTCTCACAGTTCATGCTCTGAGAGTCTGGCTACACTTTATGCGAAGGGGTGGGGATATTGCTGAACTCTAATTCCCATCATCCTCAGCAAGCATGACCAATGATCAGGATACTGGGCATTGTAGTTGAGTATCATTGGAGGGGGCACATGTTCCTCACCCCTACTTGACACATGAATCGAAGCCACATATAAACCAGGCTTTGAGTGTTGTGAATTCAGAAGAATCCCTCAGAGATGAGCAGAGGACGCTGGAGGGGACCACAGAGCCGCTGATTGTTTATCTGTGCTCATTATCTCTCTCCTTTAGCTGCTAATTTCCCCTAAGGGTTGGGATGGGGGAGCAGGGACAATTAGCAGCTACGGAGAGATCAGATGAGCATTGATAAACAACAGAAGGAAGAATGTGGCCAGCAGCTCTGACATCCCCACCAGCTTTCCGTGACCATCTCCAGGGGTCAGAACCCAAGGAGAGTCTACTGGATCAGGCCAGAGGCCCATCTAATCCAGCACCCTGGTCTCAAAGTGGCCAACCAGATGCCTGTGGGACACTGGCAAGCGGGATTGGAGCACAGGAGCTCTTTCCACTCCTTTGGTTTCCAGCAACTGGTATTCTGAAGCCTTGGAAGCAGAAGATAGCCATCGTGGCTAATAGCCATCAACGGCCTTCTCTTCCAAGAATGCTTCAGAATTTTCAGTAGCCAGAGCCAGGCTTATATGGAGCCAGTTGTCACACAATGCAAGCAATGTCCATTGTCTGGCTCTTAACACTATGCAGAATCTTGTGGATTGGTTTGGGAATAACTTCATTGTAAATGAAGCACTATTTCAGACTTTTACAAGCTCATTTGTTTCCTTCCCCTCTCCCAAAGGATCATCCACGAAGATGGCTTCTCTGGTGAAGATGTGAAGCAGTACAAGCCTGTGGTCTATAGCAACACTATCCAGTCACTGGCAGCCATTGTCCGTGCAATGGACACTTTGGGCGTGGAATATGGAGACAAGGAGAGAAGGGTAAGTGAGAACCCAGGAACAAGTGATTTGCAGTGGGCTAGTTTGTTTGTTGGTTGGTTTGTTTCATAGAATTTATGCTCAGCTTGTTTGTCTAAAAACCCTCAACGTGGTTTACAAAGAGAATAAAACAGTAACATCAGCAAAAAAGCCACAAAGCAACTCTACAAATCATTCAAAACACAAAATCAGCAAAACTGAAAACAGATTAAAACATGCATCCACATTCTACACATCTGGTTAGACTTGCTCAAACAAAAATGATTTTAGCAGGTGCTGAAAAGAACACAGTGAAGGCACCTGCTTGAGGTCAATAGGCAGGGAGTTCCAGAGTGTAGAGGCTGCCACACTAAAAGACTGATATCTTACAAATACAGAACATTTTTTATGTGGCACCTGTAAAAGTGACACTTCCACAGATTGAAGTGGTCAAGCAGGCATATATGTGGAGTAAGACAATCTCATAAGTAAGCTGGTCTCAATTTATAAGTTGCAACAATAAATAGATTATCAGCAATGACAGGAACATGAAAAAAACCCACCAACTTGTACACATACATTTTTAATATGTTTTTAATTGTTTATCACTTGTTGTTCGCTGGCCTGGGCTCCTTTGGGAGGAAAGGCAGGATATAAATTTAAGTAATTAATCTCATAAGCCTATAGGATGTAAACTGCAATGTTCCAGTTGCACATACAAGCTGATTCTGGAACTAATTTGCACATTTTGCACAGCCATGCTCATTGTCTCTCCACCAGCAGCTTTACAACTGCTGAATTAGAAACTATTATTTCGGGTGCTATTGCAGTATGAAAAGTCTTGCTGCCTGGGTAGAATGTGTTATGGAACGCTAAGTGATTTTTGAAAGATAAGCTCATTCTGCAATAACACCGTTTTTCAAACTGGTATTCCCCACCTGTTTTGGAGCAAGGCAAGTGGGGGGGGGGCACCAGGTTGGAGACAGCTGCACAATAAGGCTGACTATTAATGGCATAAACAAATGAGTGGCAGGTAGCAAAAGATCAGGGTTGCTGTTTTTCTCCCTGGACGATATCATTCGGGGTGCGCAGTCAAAGGACTCTCCATTTTGCAAGAAAACGCTCTGCACATGAATCTTATTCAAGCACCTGCCCTCATGCAGTTACAGTTGCACAAGAGCAGGCCAGCATTTGCTAGCCCCACCCCCCTCCCATCCTCACTCAGCCCCACTGTCCTCAATGGGTTGGTAGGGGAACATCTGACGTGAGAAAGGCTAGACTGAGACTTGGCCATCCAGATGCCAAAATTGCGAAACTGCACAACTTTTTCCCTGTTGTTGTTTTTTATTAGGGTTGGCAAACCTGTTTGTTTTGGTGTTTTGCTGCAAATATCAGGACTATGTAACCATTGTGGTTAAAGCAAGGAGGCTTCTTTTTCTGTCTTTGTTTATATGATACGTCAGTGGCATTATATATTTGGATGTTGATTTTCCACCCAGGAGCAAAAGGCTGTGTATATTTATCTTCCCCACCCTTTACAACAGCCCTGTGAGGTGGGCCAGGCTAAGTTAGTACATGTATGTAGGCAGCAGCTTTTGTCAATATAGTTTTGGGGTGGGGTGGGTGTTAATGCAAGGCTTGTAATCTGAATGCAATGTAGAAGGCCCAGGAAATCCTGCTGGCATCCCTGATGATGCCATTGCAGTGGTCCCTGGCCATCTCCTGTCTCCAATAGCCAACATCGGGTGCGAAAGAAGGATGCAGAGGAGCAACACTGGTGATCATGCCAGTTTGGGGTAGGATGGGGCATCTCCTGGCACTCCTCCCACAGTGGCCCTCTGGCATGTCTAGCTGCTGACCAAGGTACCACTTTCACAATCCTGTGAGCGCGAAACTCCTTGTTTTTGGTGTTCTTACAAAGCCACGCTTTTCCCCATAGAAAACAAAGCAGCTCTTGCTTACTTTAAGCGCATTGTTTCTTTTGCATCAGAGGTTAGCAGTCTGCTCTGGGTGCAGGTGCATATTGGGAGGTCTAAAAAACAGTCATGGACACCACAGAAATAACCTAAGAAAAACTAGTGAGGCTCAGAACCCCTCCCAAACACGTAAAGTGCCTACACCATTTCCCAAAATAATTTTTAAAAATAAAAATGCAGTCCCCATAACAACCAAGCCCTTTGACCCTAAATTAGAATAATGACCTGCAATAACTCAGGGTGTAGATTTGAAGTTGTCTATGGCAGATCATCCCATCATAGAGTTTTTAGAACACAGTTAGATAACTGGCTTTGCCACCCCTCCCAAGCTGCCATTGTGCGCCTGGTTCCAGTTGCTGGACCTCAGGGTCTTTATTTTAAAAAACAAGGTAGAGCCCACAAACCAGGTGTCTTCCCATGCCTACTGTAGAGAATGATAATCACCTGAAGCATAAGGACTGTCTTTGAACTGTGGCATTGAGGTGCCTAAGTTAGGGGAGCAAACTTGTTCTGAATAGTCCATGGACTCAGCTAGACTGGTAAAGAAAAACTGATTTATATGCATTGTATGTGCGATATAACATTGTGCCACCAGATGGCGACATGGAGTCCCGCTTTTCTCTACCTGTTTTCCCTGTTTAAATTTACAACGCTTTAATCTGAAGCACTTCTTTGATGTATCTAGATCCAGCCCATGTGACTCTTAGTTCTGCTCTGGTAGACTTCATTTCTGAGTGTCTAGCTGAGCTGCATGGTGATTTCCCATGTCAAACGGCTTGGCTGCATCCCTTCATTACTGGAGCTTATTTAGTTGAGAGTTTGTTCCTGGAAACACCAGCAGTTTTCTATCTCCTGGTCAGCTCTTTCCATATCATTCTGCTGCGGTGCAGGGTTGTGTTGCAAAACCAATTCCCTGCACTCTGTTGTGGGATTTTGAGCTATGCGCATGCACATCAATCACTTGATTTTTCACAGATCAGTAGCTCAGTGGGAATGACTCACAGCTGAATGTGTGAACAGATGCAAGAGCTTTGTAGGCTGGAGTCGACATGAGAAGTTATGATGAACTGTGGCATTAGATCTGCCTTGGCTTATTCCTGTCATATACAGGCCTGCACTTAATGTGACCGTTATCAAGTGCTGAACGTGGAGGCCTGTGAATTGGCCTCCCAATGGTTATGGTGTTGAAATTTATGGACTGGGGGGGGGGGTCCAGAAGGAAAGATGGGTCTATTAATACTCTGCTGGTGGTGAAGACTTCAGTGAAGAAGCTCCTCACAGTACCTTTCTTTGTTGTGGAAATTGCACGTAGTAGATATGGGAACTTCACCAGTGGAGGATAGAAAGGGTGCACAAGGCAGAAGGAGAGAGGGAGGGAGGGAGGAAGAGTTGTGCTCATGTTGCTTTTTGAACTTCTATCCTGCCTGCTCCCATATCTCGCAGCTCATGGTTGCTGCTCCTTTCCAGGCCCAGTTCCAGACGCTCGCATTTGGACTGGGAACTGCAGGTGGGGAGAATGGCTCTTGCGCTCAGGTCCTGCTGGCAGGCCTGTGTTTAAATAGGATAGTGGACTAGATGGGTCTTTGGTCTGATCCCATGGACAGGCTCTTGATATGTTGTTAGGTGCATCCGCTCAGCTCCCACTCCTTTTCCTACTGCAAGCTAGGGAGGATCAGGGGAGGAAAGCACCATCGGGCAGGAGCTGTACTTTTCGTGTATTCCTTTTACTGTTCAAGGAAGATTATCCGGCATGAAATGAAGTTCAATACACATTATGTAGCATAAAAGGAGAAGTTCATGCAGCCCTGTAAAATGCAAATGGGTCAAGGGAAAATTCCTCTGGCGTTCCATGTCATAATCAAGTGGATTATTGTCATTCTTTAGCGAAACCTGAGTTCTAAGGCCAGCCACCTAAATAAAAGAGAGAGAGAAAGACAAAGAGAAAGAGGGGGGAGGGATGAATGAGCAGCACTTTAGGTCTGAGGACTTGTAGAAATTGGAAATTGATTTTCAAGCTATTTCCAAATGGGAGTGAAGAATGCTGGGCAATGCCTTTGGACTGCCTTCATGTTCATTATGGCTCTCCAAGTATGTCAGTTCTCAAATGAAACAAATAATTTACTAAGCATAATGCAGCTTTATTTTCTAGCCTGAGGGACGTTGCTGTGCCCATCATGATCTCTTCCCCTTTGTTCGTTATTCGGGAGGCTTTTTCTAAGGGGCATTTCACCATTTGCCCCATGGCCAGCTGTCCGTTCTGTGCTCTGCCATCCCCTTTGTTTATTGCTGCCTCGACTGCTCATGATTGGTTGCCCAATTCCTTTTCTTGCCATCCATTAGCTGGCTGCGATGGGGGTTTTGCCAAGTGGAATGGCCCTCATTCTCCTCTCTTGTATACGTTCCCAAGAGTTCAGAAGCAAACGAATCTTCCCTTGATGCAGAGGGAACCGTCCCCCATGCCTCTGTCCCAATGGGCCCTGTAGGTGAGGCCTGCTCAAAATGGAGGATCTGGCGCAGCAAAAGGTGGGTGGCACCAAGTGACCAGCCACACAGGATGATGGAAGCCCCCCAGGACCAGCTCCAGTCACACTGCGTAGCGAGCAACCCCCTCAGCCCCAAGCCCCACATGAGCAGATAGTCCCTTCATGTAAGTTAGGTAATTTTAGACTCTGGGCTAATGGTGTTACTGGGGTGGCTCTGTAGGTGGCAATGTGGCTGCTTCATTTGCTTCAACAATGTGACAAGCCCACTCTGCTGTGTTTGAGGTCCTTCATCATCATTCTCTGTGAATGGGATGGACTTCTACCCAAAAGCCCCACCCTGACAGGCCCACTTTGATTAAAATGTGGAAGAGTTACTGAAGAGTTGATAGAATGGTGACACAGGCCACATCTCCCGCTCATGAGACATCAGTTGGGCCATACGGGAGATGCAACCTGATTTTGTTGCTGCTCAGGGAGTGCACCTCATAACCTTTGGATGGCAAATGTTCTAAAATGGGAGGACATTAGGGTCAAAATGACTGCAGTCCAGCTGTTGCATCAGCTA